ATCAGAAACGGAACAAAGAGCCTGTAGTTGTATATAACAAATTGTTGTTGGTTCTTTTGGCTTCTAAGATCAAACCAGAAAGCAATTTGAGCAATTCACAGATCAAACTGTAACTGCAGAACCTTTACTTCACCTTTGAGGAGCTTTCACAAGAACAGAGATATGGAGATAGAATTCTGGATTCATCAAGTTATTTACCACCCACGAAAACGGTATCTCTAGCTTCATTTCAATCCCTTGGATCCTAACCAATTTGATTTCACCCGTCTGCGGTGCGCCATCTGCATCTTCTGATTCATCAGCGGTTCTTTCTTCACCCTCTTCTCCACTCGTTTGAGCTCTGTCTCCAATGAACTCTGGGAGGAGACTTTCAATGGCGTTGCGTAAGGTAAAGCATTTCCCTGTTAAATACTGGAACAAATCAGTATCCTCACCCAACTAGAGATTCAAAAAACAGTTTGATTCAACTCTACATGCAAGAAAATCTTCTCTCTTTTCAACGAAAGATAAAAGGAACAATGCAGATCTTTATGATAAAATTGTTACCTTCTTCTCTGAGGAACTCAACGGGCCGATTTAGATACGAAATGTCATCCCATGTATCGATCTCAGGTACATCTTCAAGATTCTCGAAATCTTGAGTTATACTTCGAACATACAACCGAACAGGAATTCTTGCTGAACAAAGGATTATTAAGAGTCAGGAAAAAGGTGGTTGCACCAGAAAAACAGGACGCTATTTCTTTGTATCATGTTAGCCAACACTGAAATAGATGCACCAATTAGTGAAAACTACTATTTACTGCCACTGTTTTAACTCGGTCATTTAAACATCTTCTGAAACTCCTTTCTGAATACGGGAAAATTGGAAAAGGTATAAATTTGTAGCTGACTATATAGTTGGCAAACCTGTCTTAACTTGTCCAGTCACATCCATCTCAGGCACACCTTGTCGAGATGGTGGAGATGACATACTTGTTTTTCTTGAAAACTCATTTTCGATAGTTCCCATTTTAAGCTTGGGTGATAATCTTGTGTAGGCATCAAGATCACCTGCCAAATCATCAGTTTTCAAACTCAATACTGACTTGGTCATTGATGGATCCACATGTCATACCATGATTGACGTAAATAGTGACATTGACAATGCTGAATGCAGAATCTATATCTAGTGGCAATTAGAGTTACAGCCAGAAGTATTGCTCTAACAAGAATGATAACAGAATTGTGAGTACTAGTATTTTTATATGCCTTGCACTAACCACTCTTACCGTTCATGACAGAGGTCCACAGATCCTCTTGATCACTTTGAGACATATTCATAACATTCTTGCAATTTCCATTGATGATATATGCTGCCTGCAGGTTAGCATTATTTTAAACATGCCAAACAGTTAAAATCATTCACTGTTTGTTTCGCACAGGAGCAGTAGTAGTGCATTGTTAAAAAAATCATATAGCTATTCCACTACGGACCAACTAATCAATTGAAATATATTCAACAAATTGGTAACAATACCAATCAATTATTACCAGCTACACCTACACAGACTATAAAATTTCATAAAACTAGGAACTTTACATAGAGATATTGTGTGTTTGTAGTGGCTGACAGAGATGTAGACAGTATTGTCCCACGTTGACAATGCACTCATAGAGATGTGAAAGAAAGCCACAAACTTGTTGCAAAAGAGCAAAACTCGAGAAGGTAACAAACATTTAACTGTTCTACGATGTGAGCCCAATGGAACAGTATACAGTAGTTATTTGAAATAAAATTGACGCGTTGACGTTTCCCTTATGATGAACAAAAAAGTAATAAACTTCTAGGAAATATCCACTAACCTCTTTCAGAGAATTAACAAAGTTCCACTTTACAGAATCTTCTCCTTCACATGGTATTAGTATGTTGCTTGGATATCCTCTAAAGTGTATCTGCAAAACAAAAACATTCTGAAAAACTCAAGAACTGCAAAGATAAAAGGATGTAAGTCTTGTTGATCCTGCTAGTCGAGGATGAGGTGACGAAAGATTCCACTAATAACATACACATAGTGGCGCCCAACAAAGAGGGCTTTAGTTTTTAGTAAGGCATTGGATTTATGATTTTCTATGTTTTGTTCTCCTCAGTTTAGATTACAAGAATAGTCTCCCATAAGGCTTACTCAAGATATCCTAATTCAGTGTTGATGGAACTTCAAAGAGAAAAAATTTACCGTGAGATTCCAAGGTCTTTCTGGTTCTGCGCAAAGGAGATCGAAAAGAACGCCTGTGGGTATGTACCTGGAACCAAAAGAAGATTCAACTCTCACGTAAACGTATCACAAAAGAGAGAAAAAAAAAAAAGAACAGTTACTCCCATTATATAGTGACAGATGAACAGTGGCTTATACCATTTGAGAGGAAATCCTTTGTAGTCAAACCAGATGGAATCTTCCCCAGGAGGAAGTGAATCCTTGAAATAAGGCTTTATAAGAGGAACCAACAGAGGCAAATATCCTATTCTTGGTGCTAACACCTGAAAAAATGCGATTGAAATGTCAAAACCCCAAAGCAACTGCAAAATTCTTCCTCGTTTTCAAGCATTCAAAGAAATTGATAATCGAAAACCTCATGATTCAAAAAGAAACCCTAAAACACGAATTCGATCATGATCCAACAACCAAAAACACCAGAGATTTCCAACAGAGGTACGAATTAGAGAAGAAGAAGAAGAGTTGGGGTTACAAGAGCAGGAGGAGGAGCAGGGTGAGAAGCAACTTCGGATTTGTGGAGATGAATCTGCAGAGGAATCGCTCCTTCCCACACAAACTTGACCGCTTCATTCGCCATTCTCTTCTCCTTTCTTCACAGCTTCTTTCCGACTTGACAAGAATTCCAAAACGACGTTGTTTCTTCTTCTTCTGACGTCATCTTCTCCTCTTGCGTATACAGTGTATATTAGGCGTACGTTAGTAGTACCTACTCTGTTTTTGGCTAACATGCTCCGTACCAAGTCCGCATTTAATCGGTCTAGTCTGGTTTGGTTAAGCATTCTAAGTTGGTTCTCACCTTGGATTTGAATTTTGGTTGAATTCCAATCGAATTTTGACCGAAGTTAGAGTTGGTCTCTGAATTTAGTCCAAACTAAACCAAAGGCAACATGGACCGGATATTTCGGAATTGAATGAATAGAGAACAAGATTTTTTTTTTTTTTTCCCATATGGTGAATTATTATTGATAAACTCAAATTGAAATACAAACGATAAAACTCAATCCCGAAACGGGAGAGTCAACTACTCAAACCCAACCACTAATCAAACGACTGATCAAACCCTTATCCATGACTTAATTCCGAGACAAGAACAAAAGCTTGGAAGGCTATAACATTGAATAACCGAAAGCAAGAAGAGTCATCACAACAAGAAAAGGATCCAAACTACTCTGCAGCTTCTTCGATGATACTCAACCCAATATCAGTGAGAGAAAGTTGTTGATATGCACCGCCGCAAGAAGTATTATTCAGAAAGACAGAGAGCGAGGATCCTTAGCCGTTGATCGGGGAATACCTGCCCCAAGAACATCTTCATCATCACCACCTTCCAAAGCTTTATTCGTCCTAAAAAATACAAGTCCATGGCAAATAGGACATATCAAATCGGAGCCGAGAAAACCTTTGAAACTTCGAGGTATCACTAGATATCCGAAGCCGAGACCCCCGATAACCATAACCTCTAGAGAAGCTCAAAAAACAAAATTCCGCTATTGATTTAAAGTCCACCTACACCATTCCTCATAGTTATAACCAGTCGACACCGAAACGCACCTTCCAGATCTTTAATCGTCTTCTAGAAATAAAACACAATATGATGGCAAAGAGAACATATCAAATCTAGCCGAGGAAGATACCTTGAAACAGATTTGAAGTCCACCAACTCCATTCGAAGACCGATAAACCATCAGATGAACCACTAAAATCAAACACAAAACACTAAATTCTGGGCCAGATTCGAGAACCACTAAACGAGAGCCCCAGACCCAGAAGAGAGACAGTCGGTGAGCCAAAAGATCACACACTCCGGCGAGGAGAGCATGGCCTAGATCTGAAACGTGTAGATCTGAAGCGCAAGAACAACTCTCGCGTGAATAAGGCATGTGCACCACCGCTTTACAGGTGCAAGAAAGTCTTCGGCACTAGCCACCGTCATGTGCCCGGACCACACCAGAGCCACCACCGAAGCCTCCATCGCCGATCTAGCAAACCAAGCCACCGGACCTAAAACCCATCTTCAAGACTAAGAACCAACGCCAAAATGGAAAAGTAAGGGAGAAGAGACCCGCACCGGTGCTAACGGAGCCATCGGCGCCGGTCAAATCGGAGATTGGACGAAAAAGCTTCGGAGAAAAAATCGCCTTCTCTAGGAATAGAAAACAAGATTTGGTTTAGTTTTTTAGACTTAATTAGTTAAAATTAAGTTTAATAAAAAAAATAAAACTCAATTCATAAAGATAAATCCCTAAGACCACCTACAATGGTATGTTAAAAAAAAAAAATTCAACAGTTTAATGCCTACAATAGAAATGTTGAATTAAAAGAAGAATATACATGACAAAAATTACATTTCACATTGTAGGTCGACTCTGTCGAAGGCCAAGTTTTAAAGCTAGGACTCATAGCACCTCTCTTCTAGAAAGTTGTTATCTCTATTCCAAATTCATAGATTGCTAATAAGGTTAATTTATTAATTTTGATGTCTTAATTTTAAAACTTTGCTTATTGGCTTTATTTATGATTTTGTTGCTATGCATCAGCTGATTCTGATTGTGAACCAATCACGGGCTCTGTGCCGAGGATTATCTTTCAAGATTCCAGTGGATGTTGGCACAGTGGACAAGATTCCATTGATTTCATTGGAAATCATGGAAGCGTTAAAGGAAAACGACCAAATCTTCCAACAGAATGAGTTTCCATTTTGCTACTTGTTCAATGGGGAAGAATCTTTCGCTGAATTGAGGATTGACTGCAACATCAAACACTATCTCTCTGTGAATTAGCTAATTTCTGCCATTTATTTACATGATCAATTTGTTTTATTTTGTCTACATTTCAGAGCACAAATGAATTCTACTTGAGGCAGCAACAAATTTTTATGGACATCGTAAAGATTGTGAAGAAGCATGGCGTTGTAGTGCCTAAATAGTGACCTCTACTTGATGGTGATGGTAATACGACTTTAATTTAGCTTTTTTAATGTCGGATCATAAGTATTGTAGGATGTAGAGATTTGACTCAACTACGAGAATTCTGTTTTTAGCTTCTAAACTTGTTTGAATCTTCATAAGCTTTGTTGTTCATTAA